CATCTTCCTTAAAAGAATAAAGAGCAAAATGTGTATTTCAGGAATTGGTGCTCTCTTGTCTTGAAACATTTACCATTGTCCATACTTTTCAGTCAGAGGTTTTGAAGTATTGTTTTTGTTTTTAAGGAAATAAAATAACATTAGTCTTTCATGTGAATGAACCTTGTGATCCTCATTTGACAAGTTTAAGATATGGTGAAGGTTAATATTCATAAACTTAGAACAGTTGGCACCATGCATTATTTTCTGTTTAAGCCTAATTCTTTGTGATTAACTTATCTAATAGGTTTTATTTGGCTATTAGTAACCATCAGTGAATAAAACGGTTTGAATTTAAATTTTTAAAATTGTATGCGTCATGTGAGGTGTCAAACCTAGCCAACATTTGAATTGTATGTGCCTAAATTATAAGCAATATCAAGTTCATTTGTTTAAACCATAGCATTTCACTATTCTGGTTATATACAGTTCATTTGATTCTACATAATAAGCATCTATTTTAGTTCTGTCTTTATATGTTGAGTTTCTGCTTTCGGGGTTTATGCTCCTGAAATCACCCAAACTCAAGCCTTACCACTACCCCCTTTTCAATCTTCATTCCAAGAAAGAAATATTTTATCCCTTTCATCCCTATAGCACCAAGGCTTTGAATATACTGTCAATGTCAGGGATTTAGAGTGCAAAGTAAAGAGCATAAGATTCCATAACTAGATAAACAAGGCTCTGCCCAATTAGATCATCAGAGTCCATCCAGTAAACAAGGGAACATGCAATGTAATTCAGTATGACAGACTGATAACAAAAATATGGTAAGCATTAGCAGAATAAAGGCCTCTATAAGCAGGGGTTGTTTTTAGTTTATCTCTATGTATCCCACACCAATAGGGTCTGGTACTTAATAGAGTCAATAAATCATTTAAATGAATGAAATTAATTCTACCTTAGAAAGAGGTGAGAAACAAGGAAGTCTTCCCAAATGAGGTGAGATCTGGGCTTTGAAAGCCAAACAGGCAGATGAAAGGGTCAGAGAATGAATGATAGGCATGGAGAACAGTGTGAGTAAAACTGCATGCCATGTTTTAGCAAACTGCAAATAGTTTGAATTGCTTCAGCATAAAGTGTAAATTGAAGAGCAGCCAGAGATGGATATATATATTAGTGAAGAATTATATTGTTTCCATGGGTTTCTTTGAAAAACAAGGAGCATTTAAAAAAATATCTGATTTATACTTTCCCTGAACACTTTTTATTTTTATTTATTTATTTTTTAAAAGATTTTATTTATTTATTCATAGAGAGGCAGAGACACAGGCAGAGAGCCTGACGTGGGACTCGATCCAGGGTCTCCAGGATCACACCCTGGGCTGCAGGTGGCGCTAAACCGCTGCGCCACTGGGGCTGCCCCCTGAACACTTTATAAAATGTGTTTCTGTGTACCTAAACCTCAGAGGGCTTTGATATTTTTAAAAGTTAATTAAAATTATTGTTGATTAAATATTTTCATTTTTTCTATAGCATTTTAGCTGGATTTTTAGTAACTTTATAATTTTATAAATTTTGCTTATAATTTTGAATGAAAATGATTGTACCTTTTCAGATTATACAGGTTTATAAGTGCTGCATTTGCATTTATTACATGCCAATGTTCATTAAAGTATGACAGCATACTTCAAGCCAAGTGTTCTATGGAACTCTACCATGTGAATAGATAAAGTTTGTGGGCATTTTCCTTATGCTGGTGTGTCTACTAGGACACTCCTCAGACTCCAAATTTGACAGTCAAGGGTTTAGTGGAAAGAGCTGTAGCCCAAACACCAGGAGGCCCAGGTTCAGTATTTACAGCATTACTAGTTAGCTATAGGATCGTGGGTGTTTCCTTTTTCTCATTTGCTAAATAAATAGTGGGGCTGAGTTAAATGACTTCTAAAGTCCCTTTTATTTCTAAAATTCTGTGGTTTTATAAATCTGTAGCTATAGTTCATATGATGCTGGAGCGTTGGACAGGAATGTAAACCCCAATTATAGCTACAGTTTCCAGTACTACATCTTGTGATAACAGGAGCTGTCTATACTGTGTTTTCTCAAATATACTTTCATTTTTTAAATTTAGTTCTATGTGTGAGATACAGTTTTTCTTCTTTTAAGTGCTTTAAAAAAAAGATTTTATTTTTTATTTTTAAGTGATCTCTACACCCAGTGTGGGGCTTGAACCTACAACCCAGAGATCAAGAGTCACATGCTCCACCAGCTGAGCCAGGCAGGTGTCCCGAGATACAGTTTTTCTTATTAAACTTTTATAATAAATTCCTTTTTCTCCCCAATATATATATATATATATATTAGAGATTTGGGTAGGATAGGTAGTGGAGATATCTAGTAAGTGATTTGAAGTGCGTGTCTAAAACTCAGGAGAGAAGTAGATTTCGAGTCATCTACATAGATTATAGTTTAAAATGCGGAAGTAAATAAGATTGGGGGGAAAGAACAAAAGAAGGGAGTAAACAAACAAGAATATAATTCATACTTAAGAGATAGAGGAAAATAAGGAACTTCACAAGAAAATGCGAAAGGAGCAAAGAAGAGAGGTAGAATAGATTGTGTTGACTGAGAGCCCCCCAATAAAAGCACACCATCTGGTGTTAAGATTTACTAATAAATGAAGATAAATCCGCCATGAAGGTAAAGGGTATCAGAGAAGGCCATTCAAGCCAGTGGGTGCATGCAATTCAATGAATAAATATAGAACTTTTGTAAGAAGAATCAGACCTATAAATACAGAGAACAAACTGATGGTTGCCAGAGGGAAGGGGCTATGGAGATGGGCTAAGTAGGTGAAGGGGAATGGGAGATACAGGTGTCTGGTTGTGGAATGATTAATAAGAGAATAGAAGGAACAGCATATGGAATATAGTCAGTGATACTATAATAGTATTGTATGGTGACAGATGGTAACTACTTGTGAGCATAGGTATAGAGAAGGTGAATCACTGTTGTATACCTAAAACCATTGTAACATTGTGTGTCACCTATACTCAAATTAATAAATAAAATATATGTCAAGTTCTAGTTTAAAAACAAAAAAGTGGTTTAATCTTGTTAAGTGTTGAAGGGAAATAGGTTTACAAGGTTCATTAGCTATACACATTAGAGTATGATGGTATGGTGAATAGCAAGCACTGAGCTGAGAAACAGATTCTGGGTTCTAAGTCTAAACTCTATCCATTATTTTAATTGTACAGCCATTCAGTCATCTAATAGGGTGGAGAGATTTATAAACAAATCAGTTACAATCAGGTTGGTAATTGCTATCCTAAATATGACCAAAAATGATTGGGCAAATTATTTAAGTGTTTTGGGGCTTAGTTTCTTCACCTATAAAATAATAATAAGTTGTTTTAAGTCTCATATTTGATGTAGCACCCCATCCTACAGTCGTGAACTGTTGTATTATTTTCCTCTTAAATTCTTCTTTAAAAAGTATTTTAAATGCTTATAAAAAGCATTTTTTAAAAATTTAAATGTATTTTTTAAAAAGTAAAATTTAAATGCTTATATAAAAAGTATTTTATATGTATGTATATATATATATAGAACTATGTTTTTTTAAGATTCGTTTCTTTATTTGAGAAAGAGTACGAGTGCCCATGAGTGGGGGGAGGGGCAGAAAGAGAGAGAATCCCAAGCTGACTCCCCACTGAGTGCAGAGCCTGATGTAGGGCTCCATCTCGACCCATGAGATCAAGACCTGAGCCGAAATCACAAGTCTGATACTTAACTGACTCAGCCACCCAGGCGCCCCCTATGTACTTATAACATACATTTCAGAAAGTTGTTATGTGGTATACTATTAAAATGTCCCCCTACACTGAGGCTTTCATACCTTGTCTGCTGATGAAGTATAATAGTAGAAACCATACTACATGTGCTTGGGCAGCGAGTACTGTGGACTTTCCTCCAAAGAGAACTCTGCCACTCTTTGGAGAGCTGAGCATATTTTAAAATATATGTTGTTTGTCTCCTGGAACTGATATTTCTGCCATTTTTTAAAAGTAGGGAATAGGGGGACCTGGGTGGCTCAGCCAGTTAAACGTCTGCCTTCGGCTTAGGTCATGATCCCAGAGTCCTGGGATTCAGCCCTAAGCTCGGGCTCCCTGCTCAGTTGGGAGTCTGCTTCTCCCTTTCCCTCTGTACCTCCCCACTGCTTATGCTGTCTGTCTCAAATAAATAAGATATTTAAAAAGTAAAAAAAAAAAAAAAAGAGAGAGAGAGAGAGAAATAGTTGTGACCCATAGTGAATGGCAAAGTATGCCAGTAAAGACTATCATGCTGGTTATTAAAATGTAAGTTTTACAGAGGCCAGTGGCCTAATGGACCTCCAAAGAAACAGTTGAGGAAAATGAAGGTAAAGATTATTATGCATTTATGAATGAGTGACTACTAAAGCAGAGACAGTCACAGATTGTCATAAGTGCTCATTTTGTGTCCTTTGATATAAGGTGACTTTGTATTCAACAAACATTTATCAAGTTTCTATTATGTGCTGGTGCTATATTGGTGAAATCCCTTTTGGATTTTATCATTTAGTGGGAAAGAGAGTGGAACAAGGGCTAGAGACTCATGGGAGGTCAATTTTGCCCAAGTAGTAAATGATCTAACTGCCACTTTTTTTTGTTGTTTTTGTTTTGTTTTGTTTTTTCTCCTACCACTGGTTCATGATGAAACCATATAAACTGCATCTTTTATTCCTGGCTTATCCTCTCTCTCCCTCTCTGCATTCCCACACCTCAAGGTAACTGTGGTTTAAGAAAAAAAATATATTGAAACTTGTGGTTAAGTATCTGAATCTCCAGGAGCATGTGAATAAGCCTAGATGGTATATGTAGCTGGGAAAAAGTTTAAGAACTGACTTCTGGGTCATAATATTTAAATCTGTATTGCAAGCCAGATCGTATACTTGAGTATAAATCTACATTTTAATTACTTTTGCTTTTTGTTTATAGGTCCAGGGGCAAGTTCATCCGACTCTTGAGTCTAGTGACGATGCTCTTCAATATGTTGAAGAATTAATTTTGCAGTTATTAAATATGCTATGCCAAGCTCAGCCTCGAAGTGCTTCAGATGTAGAGGTATGTTAAATTTTGCCTTGTATTTACTTCATATATACAGATATGTATATACACACATATATCTAATCTGTACTTATTGTAATGTCAGCAGAAGAGTTTGCTCTTCAAGTCCACAAAATATATATGTGGTACTAAAAAAAATGAAGCCTGAATTTATTCTTTGTATTAGGTGTATGATAACTTGTATATGTTTTAGCTGTCCAGTTATTCCATGTTTGGCTTTTAATCTGGAATGAACTTTTGTTGGCCTCCAAATACTACTTCTTGGTGCAAGAATTTTAAGCACACCCACATAGCTTTAAAGTGGAATATGTTCAAGTGTTTCTTTCATTTTTAAAGCCAACTATCATTTATAAAACATTTCATTTGGGGCAACTAGGTGCCTCAGTTGGTTAAGCATCTGACTACTGATTTCAGCTCAGGTCTTAATATCAGGCTCATTAGTTCAAGCCCCGCTGGTCATGGAGCCTACTTAGATTAAATTAAAAAAAAATCTTTTTAAAAATTCATGTCAGTTAATGTTTTGATCTTCAGTTGTTACATGTATTTTATTTTATTTTTTAAAAAAGATTTTATCATTTATTCATGAGAGACACAGAGAGAGAGAGAGAGGCAGAGACACAGGCAGAGGGAGAACCAGTCTTCCCACGGGGAGCCTGATGCAGGACTCGATGTCTGGATCATGCCCTGAGCTTAAGGCAGATGCTCAACTGATGAGCCACCCAGGCATTCCTGTTACATGTATTTTAGATAGTCAGTGAACTCCTTCCCACCAGTTGGAAGAGAAGGAAACATAAAAATCTAGGAAGTTCCTGCAATCTCTTAGTAAGATGATATGGCCCCTGTGTTTTTAGAGTTTCTAGTTTAGAGGAGATACAGGTGGGAGTATGGGCAATAACATTATGTGATATACTGCATAAAAGGTATGTGGGAAGCTATAAAAGGGACAAACTAATCACATAGGTTTTGTGGCTTAAGGATTAGCCTCCTAGAAGAGGCATCTGAAGGAGTCAAAAGTCTGAAAAGAAAAGAAAAAAGGTGGGATCCCTGGGTGGCGCAGCGGTTTAGCGCCTGCCTTTGGCCCAGGGCGTGATCCTGGAGACCCAGGATCGAATCCCGAGTCGGGCTCCTGGTGCATGGAGCCTGTTTCTCCCTCTGCCTGTGTCTCTGTCTCTCTCTCTCTCTCTCTCTGACTATCATAAATAAATAAAAAAATTAAAAAAAGAAAGAAAGAAAAGAAAAAAAGGTTTGAAATTCTACCTGTAAAAAATGGGATTTCTGGAAGAAATATAGTTTTCTGGCATGAAGGATCAATTTGACTTTAATGACATTGAATATATACTGGTACAAATCTTTGAGTTTCTCTGACATTGCTTTTGCCATTTTCAAATGTGGGCACAAAAAAGATAATTGGGTTGAACGTATTTCACCATGGATATATAGTGGAACCGTAGGCCAAGGAATGAGGGAAATTAATAATAGCGATGCTTTGTAACCTTTCAGAATACAACACACATAGAATTAAACAAAGATTTTATCACAAAGAGTGGCTAGGTAGGAGGTATATCTAAATACTCCAGGCCCTGCTTAGTTCCCTAGGAGGCTGAGGAATTAATATGAGGGCATATCCGATAAGAAACTTCTGAAAAGGGACGCCTGGGTAGCTCAGTGGTTGAGCGTCTGCCTTCAGCCCAGGGCGTGATCCTGAAGTCCTGGGATCAAGTCTCACATCGGGCTCCCTGCATGGAGCCTGCTTCTCTGTCTGCCTATGTCTCTGCCCGCCCCCCCCCCCCCCCGTGCTCTCTGGGTCTCTCATGAAGAAATAAATAAAATCTTAAAAAAAAAAAAAAAAAAAAAAAGAAAGAAAGAAAGACAGAAACTTCTGAAAAGTGTATCCAAACTGGATAGGGAAAAAAAGTGAACTGTAATAATGGCTGCTATTTGAGTGCTTGCTATATAGTATCATGCACTGTTCTAAAACACTTCTATGTTTTACGTTTTATTTAAAGTTTTTAATAACACCATGAAGATGGTGCTATTTTTTCCCCTTACTAGATGTAAGCTCCAAGGTTATTTTTCTTGCTCACTGCTGAATTCCTAGCACCCAGAACAATGTCTGGCACTGAGAAGGCACTCAGGAAATACATGTTGAATGAATAAATGTGGAAACTGAAGCACAGAGAGGTTAAATAAATTGCCCTTGCCCAAGGTCACAGCTAAAAGGTAGTGAAGCCAAGACTAACCCCAAAAGTGTAAGCTTTCTGGATGTACATTCCAACTCAGCTGTTCTGCCAGGAGAGGGCAAGTAAACTGGAAAAACATGCATGGAACTAGGGTATTGGATTTCTCAATAAGGTCAGAGAACTGATAACACTGAAATACCTGAGTGGGAGAATTAAAAGAATAGATTGGGATCAGAGACAAAATTGTTGGAATTTAAGATTTCCTCAGTAACACAGTTACAAAGCAGGATGCGGCCCTGTGATGGTGGCTGGGCTAGAAGCAAAGGTCCCCAAGTTGAGGTATTCAAGGAATTAAGAGGCCAGGGTATTTTATGTGTCCTTAATATAGATGATAAAGTCACACAGGATGATGGCAAGATTTTACATGACCCAGAAACAGCTTGGGGAGTGGAAAAGATGTTAAATTTACCTTCAAGTGGGTTTTGGGAAAAGGGCAGCTTTTGCTCTAGAAGTCTTCAGGAGAGAGAACAGATTTCAGCTGAAGCAAAGAGATAAAACTCTTAAAAACACTGAATTACAGAGGTTGTGGATGTAGAAATATTTTATATGATAGAATAGTAATTCACTTTGATTTCCTAAGTAATTCAAAGTAGGTTTTATACATTTTTATCCCATTTTTCCCATTGAATTATAAGATCAGCTATCTTATATTCATGATTTCTTTTAGATACGTAATTACACTGGGACTCAGAGTAGATCTTGAATAGAACTGGTTGCCTGACTCTTCTCATGAACATTTCCAGTTGCAGTTGCTCTTTTGGATCTTAGTTAGGTTCTCCCACAGTGTTTATAAAATGCAGCATTCATCCTTGTGCCTGCTGTATTAGAATACAGATCTCATCTTGCTTGTCAATCTGATGTTAGATGACATTCCAGGAATTTCCTGGTTTGATAACATTACAAACTCAAATTCAGCTCTTTCTAGATACCTTGTACTATATACCTATGTTTATCTAGCCTTCTTCTTTTAATTAATATAGAAACAAATATATAATTTTCCAATATTGAAGAAATTTCCATTAATTCGTGGAAATTACTGAGTCTCTTCAGTCTTTAACTTGTGCAGATTTAACCAATATGTAGGCCCTCAAGTAATAAGAAATACTTCATAGCTTCTTAGTGTTCAGAAAACTTCTGAGATCTTGAAGGTATACGTTTACCCTATGCCTTATCTTGTTATTTTCAAGCACTTAACCTGGACCCTTAAAATAGATATAGCCATGTGATATATCAGTGATCTGGCTTTGGGATTGGGAATGGTTGGAAGAGAGAATATATGACAGTAATAGAAATAACAATGAGTTGTGTAATAGGCTTTGTGATTTCAGAGTACTGTTACATACATATTTGTCTTTATAACAACTCTGTAGTTATTCTCCTTATTTTATATGTTAGACAACCCTCAGAATGGTAGATTTTTAGAAAAGGTAGAAACTTGGGTCTTTTCCATTCAATAATCAAATACCTTTGTTCTTGTGCCATTCCCTAAAGTTTATTTAGACAAGAATATGGATATGTAGAGATATTTAAATGAATATAATGGTGTCTTAGATTCTTTTATCAGAAAATAATTCTTCATTTTCTCATTCATTAGGATTTTTTATTTCTTTAATACATTTAATTTCTTTAATACATCTATAGAGCTTTCTTTTAAAATAATAAGGACCATGAATTTTGCAAGCCCTTCAAATAAATTTTGAGGTAAGAGTTCATCAAAATTTTCTAAAATATGGGGGCCGTATTAAAAATTTTACTTAAAAATAGATCCATCTGAATTAGTGCAATATATACATTTCTAATCTTTCTAAAGAATACATTTCGATTAAAGTATCAACAAAGTAGAATGGCAATTCAAGCTTAATACTTGGCCCCAAGGGGATTCGTTTTAATGAAAAACTAAAAGTTTTAGTTGCCCTATAATTTTGGGAAAAGATACTTCAAAAGTACTTGAAAACTGATGGATTATATAATACATATCTATAATCTTGCTTACGTTAATTAAAAGTTTTGATAAATTGTACTACAGATAATCACAGGTTAGGGACTGTCATAGTTCAAATGAAAGGGATTTCTTTTTATTGATATTGCCAAAATTCACTAATCCATACCACCAATATTTGAGCATCTACTACCTGTCAGGGAGTGTTCAAGATGAATAAGGAAGCATTTATACGAATGCTCTGGGAATGCAGAGGAGGAGTATGTATTGTTTCTGTCTTTTCAAAATAATTTAATATTTAGAACATAGGTATAAAATTGTTCCAGTCTAGTTTATTCTCCCTATGTTCGTTTTCTATATTTAATCTTTTTTTTTAATTTTTTTTTTTACTTATTTATGAGAGAGAGAGAGAGAGAGAGAGAGAGAGAGAGAGAGGCAGAGACACAGGCAGAGGGAGAAGCAGGCTCCATGCACCAGGAGCCTGATGTGGGATTCGATCCCGGGTCTCCAGGATCAGGCCCTGGGCCAAAGGCAGGCGCGGTTTTTAAAAATAGAAGCAAAAAATAATAGTATTTTTTTTCGCGTCCTGGTAAAGTATATTTTATTTAATTTCTTAGGTCTCATCCTTTCATAATTGTACTTGTTCTTTTTCTCCTTTTCTCTGGTTAACGAAACTGATTGCCATTTGTTAATGTCTTTCTTCTTTCCCTTTCTGGCCTCTATGTCCTGTATTTAACCAACTTTGATTTCTTATGATACAGACGTATTTTTCTTCTCATTTAACTCAGGCTTTCTTGGACTAACTTACCTAAGACTTTTTTTTTTATGAGCTATAATCTAAAATTTTAAAAGTGTGCTTTACTTTTCCATTCATTTTTTTAAATTAACTTCTTTTCCTTCACATCCTAAAGAATCTTTATAATTTCTAATAAGTGTTCTATTAATGTTTAGATTTCCCAAGTAATTTCTCCATATTTTATACCTTTCTAGGACCCTCCCCTCCAATTCCCCACAGTAAGCCTTTATTACTATTAATAGGACTTCAAATGTACCTGTGGGTCTGAATATTTACACTGAAATACATGTGTGGGAATTTTCCTAGGTCCTAGAATATTTGTATTGGAATTGATCTGCAAGGATAGCTATTTAGATCCCTTTTTTTATGTAAAAGAAAAGAGAGGGTTCTGCTAATAAAGAGACAGATGAACCTTAAACCTAGCTCTGTATCTCAATTTTTTCCAAAGCCACTAGATATTAATAAAGATGGAATTTCTCATTTCAAACAAATGAAATTATTAAAGTAGCAGAGTAATAGAATTTTAATTCATGAATCTTTCATTGATCATTCCTCTTTGGGCCTTAAAAAAACTTTTAAAATCTATAAAATAATTGTAAAAATTTATTGTGCTCTGTTAAATTTGCCACTACAAGGGATAAAGTGATTCTTTCAACTTGGCCTTTTCACATTTAAGGCACTTTTATTTTTTGACCATACATTGACTCTGATTATTACCTCCTAAATATACAGTTGGTAATTTGATTCCAGTAATATACTAAGAAGTAAGTTTAAAATGTATTTTTCCTCAGTATTATTTTCCCTTTCTTGCTTCCTCTTTTATCATTCCTGATTTTCTTTCCCCTTCTTTCTCAAAACAATAGATAAACTTGGGATTAGGTGGATACAACTGAGATGGGAAGGGATTGCTATTCTTTTTTCTTCCACCTCTACTCCTGTCTCATTTGCCTCTCTAATTCCACCAATGTCTTTTTTTCCCCAAAAAGACATATGTTCAGTATATTTAGAATTGGCATACTGAGTTCAGCTTCTCTTCTGCTTTTCTCTCACCATTATACACCAGTGCTTTTTAAGATTCTAGGTCATGACCCATTAATAAGTCATAAAATCACTTTAGTGCATTGCCCAACATTTTTTAAATGAATAGAAAATATCAGTGCATTGCATCTAATAAGGGCAGGTTCTGTTTTATGAACTTTGTTCCAGCTTAGTATGTGTATGATGTGTTAGGATGTAATGTGAAATGTATTAAGAATTTATAATTTTAGGAGGCCTGGGTGGCTCAGTGGTTGGTTGAGCGTCTGCCTTCAGCTCAGAGTGTGATCCCAGGGTCCGGTGATTGAGTCCTGCTTCGGGCTCCCTGTGAGGAGCCTGCTTCTCCATCTGCCTATGTCTCTGTCTCTCATGAATAAATAAATAAAAACCTTTACCAAAAAATTTATTATTTCTTACTCTGAGTTGAGGGGGAAAAAAGAAAGAAAAAGAAATTAGCAATCCACAGGGCTATCTATAATTGTTACTTTTGGATTACCAAGTTGTTTCCTGGGAAAATGGAAAAGAATTTTTGCTTTGGTTGTTCCTTTCCACCGTTTTCCCCTTCTCTTTTCTCCTTTTCCACCTGTCAGACTACCCCCAATATTTTGGACCTCTATACTGCCTGTATTATATGAAGATATACTGTCCTGGCAAATAGCTTTTCAACTAGGCATTTCAAAAAGTATGTGAAATTATAATTACAATAATTTCTTTCAACACACCTCTAATTCATTAATTAGAATTGAAACGATCACTTCTTATGTTGGGCAGCTGATTTAGCCTTAAACGTAGATGAAGAGAAAATTTATTTAACTGGAATAGGTTGAACTATTCTCACTTTATAAATTTGTTCTTAACATGTCCTAGAATCAACATGTTTTTCCCCCGGAGTATCACATAGCAATCTTTTTATTTTCCATTTTAATAGCAACTGACAAAAGTTTTTCTTCAGACTTGTAATGAGTGATGTTTAATTTTATCTAATAGTTTTTACATACTACTAGTTACATACATGTGTTTAAATTATGTTAATAGCGACCTCTACTGGCTTTAACTATGGTATCCTGAAAATGGAATTTAAAAACTTAAGAGAATGTTTTGAAGTGAATTATATTAAAGTATGGAAATTCAGCTTTTACATTAATATGAGTTCCTTCACTTGCAGTGGAAATTCTAACTGAATAAGTACTAGAAATTATTTTGTTAAAATTAATGACCCATGAAGGATTCAAAATATAAAAATTACTATTACCAAGTGTAGACCCTTGATTCCATGATGTGTAAATAGTTTTGAAGTTAGGTACTTTAGTATGATGAATAAAGTGAAGAAAAAAATTCTTAGAGGTTTCAAGTGCAAAATACTACTTGAGGTTATGATTGGTGTTGAAAAGACAAATGAAGGAGAATTGGATTTAGATATATGCTTCTTGAATTTAGGTCTTGTTCTTGAGATTTTATATACTCAATGGTTATTCTAATCATTCTTGTCATTAGCTTTATCACAGTGAAGTCGAAATTCAGAATGTGATTTTCCCCCGAGATAATATAAGGGATATTCAGTCTCTTAATTGCCTAATTAAGAAACTAATACATTGACAGCTATAGTTCTCTTAGCTTAAGTATGTTTGTAGTATAAATTATACCACATGTGAAAAGCCTGCTTTTGATATTCTTTGATTTTAAAAGTAAATGGTAAGTGAAGAGCACTATTTAATGTATTTGTTGCTTAGTTGTTATTTTCCTATTTTCCAAGGAACGTGTTCAAAAAAGTTTCCCTCATCCAATTGATAAGTGGGCAATAGCTGATGCCCAATCGGCTATTGAAAAGAGGAAGCGAAGAAACCCTTTATCTCTCCCAGTAGAAAAAATTCATCCTTTATTAAAGGTAAAGCTGAAATACTGCCTTCTTGCCTTTTAAAAGCAAAATAAAACCCATGATTTTCAAACATTAAGAATATATTTTAATGGATGATAGTGACTTGAAGGGTGAAATTCTCTCATATTAATTTTTCCAGGAATTCTTTTTGTGGGGAGGGATGATATAATAGGAAAGTATAAGTTGGGCATCGTGATTTAAAGTAACTTCATACCAACAAAAATATGCAAATTGAAAAGACTAAAAGAAAAGTTACAGTTGTGGATTTTATTCATCTCAGGTGTTACTATAATCTCAGAGAATTTATAAAACTCCTTGCTTGTTGGTTAGACCTAAGTGTCCTTATAAACCTTTCACATCATTATGTGTGAAGGGACCTCTGTGAGGCTGAGGCTTACACAGAGCTATGTGTAAGCTTTGAATAAAAACTTTCTAAAGGTTATCTAAACTACCCAGTCCTCTCCTCATTTAAATCAGTCAGCTGAATCTCTCCAGAACTAGTGGGAAAAATAATTGCTGGAAGCTCTTATTTATTTAATAAAATGAACAAACTAATTAACACTCACATAAAAAATATAGGGGCTATAGTAATTAAAACCTTAACAATACTTTGATATCCATAATTTTGTATAAACTATAACACAAGCAAAATGCTAAATCTTACATATATTATCTCTAAGTGTTATTACTCCACAGAGTTATTCTCATGCCCAGTTTGTAGATGAGGTGACTGAGGCAGAAAGTAATTGAGTGACTTTGAGTTCACGTTCACAGGGCTCAGAGTGATAGTGTCAGGAAATGTAGATCTGTTTGATCTTGTTCAAGATTTAAGATTAACACTTGGATAATGTTTAGGACTGTGAAAAGGTTATGTTTTGTATTTGGGTTGTTGGAATAGAAATATCTGCCTATGTCTTAACTGGTCTGAGGAAATAAGTGCAAGTTATAGAGAATTACTGAACTCTATTAGTAATTGCATACTTCTTTATAATTCTCTTCATGATTTTTACCAGCCATACATTAAATTATATTCTTAGAGAATTAACAAATTGAGGTATGTGCATGCTGTATTAATAATGATCCTAAACTGAATTTTGTGATCTGTTGTGGATATCATTCAATTTATTAATACATCCTTATCACTATAAACATTTTATAGTTTTTACATGTCTTTAAAGGTAAATGCCACCTGTACCCAACTTAAGTAAACTTTTTATTTCAAAGGTTTTTTTTAAATTGGATTGTTTAGAAAATAGAATTTGTTTTCCTGTAAGCATTAGTCAGCCCCACAAAATCCCATACATCCTTTGAATTCTAATCATACTATTTAATAACATGCTCTTAATAACCACTGTTGTTCAGTAGAACATAGCATGATTTTTTTTTCCCATAGAAACAGTTATAGATACCAGGAATGTACCACTAGGGTTTTGGGATCCCAGGTTCTTTTGGAAAGAAGAATAGAGCTATAAGGCTAGTACATATTCCCAGATACCAGTAATATATGAACTTTTGTTCTACGTAAAGATAAAATTTATTTTATATTTATTTACTTTATATAAATTTATTATTTTATTAAATAATTTATTATATAAATTATTTTATTTATAGTTTTACTTATTATAGTTAATTCCAAGTTTCCTGAATTAGATAAAGTGAACATTCCCCTACCCCCAAACTGGGGCTTCCCTCCCTACATTAAGGATGATCTATTAAGTAATCTGTACTACCTAAGTATTTTATATGATCATAGGTAATTTTGCCTTACCTTTGCTTAACTTGTATTTCCAAATAGCAGTATGTATATTATTCACAGATGAACCTACAATTAAATGTTGTTGATAGTCACAGGCATCTGTAAAAATTAAGCTAAATTGTACGCATTGTTTCTTTTTAATCGGTGTGTCAAATTTATAGTATATGATTTTTAAGCCTGTTTTTCTTTTAATTTTTCAGGAGGTCCTAGGTTATAAAATTGACCACCAAGTTTCTGTTTACATAGTAGCAGTATTAGAATACATTTCTGCAGACATTTTAAAGCTGGTGGGGAATTATGTACGGAATATACGGCATTATGAAATTACAAAACAAGATATTAAAGTGGCAATGTGTGCTGATAAGGTAGGATACTGATCTTCTCTATGTTTTGTTCTTAAATTTTTATTCCTGATTTATTGGATGCTAATCTGTTCAGACAATAAAATTATATATTGTGTTAGGATACATTTCCAGTAACCCAATAGCAAGTACTCAAGGTAACACTTTATGGAAATAGAGTATTATATATAGTACTAAACTGTTTAAACATGTCATGCAGTTTTTCTTTGATGTGCTCTTGCAGATAGGGTTAATACTGGTAATAATCTCTTATTAGTAAAATTCTTTAAGTTTTTTAGATCGGGACACTTAGAAGATTATGGATTTTGAAAATATAAAAATGCTTAACTCTTGAGTTTTATTTCAGTACTTAATTATCTGTAGATACTACTTGTATGGTTTTATTATAATAATATTAAGAGCAAACATTTATTGAAAGTTAAGCATATATGAAATTTATGTAATTTGGTCTTTATGGTATCACTCTAAGGTAAGATGCTCTTATAAAAGGGAAACTAAAGTTCAGAGAGATAAAGAAATTGTTCCTGAATTTTCTGAGAAGTTTTAAAGCCTAGACTCAAACTCTAGATTTGAGTCTAAAGGTTTTAATTATCATGCTAGACTGCCTCAGTATTTTCATTGTATAAAAATAACTTTGCAGAAAATAAAATATTTTCTGATGAAGGATTTCAGTCCATTTTTTCTCACTATACTCTTACTGATTTGGAATATTCTTTCTGATTACTAAGTTCACTTAATTATGTTCCAGTCTTCTTTGTTCTTTCAGAATGTGAACATACAGGATTTAAAAACACCTGATCTGAGGAAGGATTTCAAATATATTGATATTTTTAAAGGAATAAGTATTTGGTTTTTAAAATAGTTATCTTTTCAGTAAATGTAAAATATTTGACACTTCTAAATAAATTAGATAAGTATTTTTGAGTACATACTATGAGCTCACACAGGGAGGAAATACAAAAGAAGTGTAAAACAAGGCCCCAGGGGTGCCTGAGTGGCTCAGTTGGTTAAGCATCTATCTTAGACTTAGATCATGATCCCACCGTCCTGGGATTGAACCCCATGTCTTGCTCCCTGTTCAGCAGGAAGCCTCCTTCTCTTTCTGCCCCTCACCCTGCTCATGCTGGGATCAAACCCCATGTCTTGCTCCCTGCTCAGCAGAAAGCCTTCTTCTGTTTCTGCACTCACCCTGCTCATGCTCGCTCTCTCATTAATTAATTAATTAATTAATTAATTAATTAATTCTTTTAAAAAACACAAAACAAGTCTCCAGAGTTGGTGAAGGAGAAAACTTACATTTGTGAAACAAGCAGAAAATAATCCAAGATAAAATTTTACTTCACTTTGTTGTAGGGATAATCACACAGAAATTTACAGAAATGGAGAGATGAGGTTTAGCAAGAATAATAATAGTAGACTTCTTTGAAGAAACAGGACTAGTTTTGATCAGTTTCCAACAAATGTAGTTAAGGAGGCCAAATAGCAGACGGTGAATTATCAGATACAGAGTGATGAGCCCTGGAATGAGGTAGTGATGGCAAGGGTATAAAACAGAAGAAACTAAGTAAGAGAGAAATCCAATACAGGATTTGAGAACAAATTTGAAGTAATAGGTTAACAAAAGAGACAGACAATACTAGTATTAGTAGAGAACTTAGAGAAAGCAGTTTGTGATATTAGATGGGGAATTCTGTTTTAGAGAGATACGGAGGTGACAGAGGCAGTATAGCCAAGAAGAGATAATTGTGTACCTGCTTTTTATCACTTAAGAACTATATTCAAAGAGCAACTTAGGGTACTTAAATTTGACTATAGATTCATATTTTATTGTATTTGTTTTATATTTCTGTTTAGGTATTAATGGACATGTTTCATCAAGATGTAGAAGATATAAATATACTATCTTTAACTGATGAAGAGCCTTCCACCTCAGGAGAGCAAACTTATTATGATTTGGTAAAAGCATTTATGGCAGAAATTCGACAGTACATAAGGGAACTAAATTTAATTATAAAAGTTTTTAGAGAGCCCTTTGTCTCCAATTCAAAATTGTTTTCAGCTAATGTAAGTATTGTTGTGTACACATACATCATTGCATGTGTTGATAATTTTACATGACAACTCAGATTTGAAGTTGTATAGTTCATGATTGCTAATTTGTCATATTTTTAAGTTGTGGGATTTAATTCATAGTGACTATGATCTCATAGTTGCTACAATAGTTTGAATAAATTCAACACCAAAAATTAAAAGACAAAATCTAAACTCTAGATAGAACTCTAAGTGCAAATGAACTTACAGAATCTTCTTTGTACCCCAAGGAATAAAGCTTCTTGTTAAGGTGGAAGATGTTTTTTGTTTAATTTGACTCATTTATTTGAGTCATTCAACTAACACTTCATCAGTGCTGCCTATATATGTTGTTAGGCATCATATAGTACTTTACAGTAGGGATTCAAAGATGAATAAAAACAGTTCCTTCCCTCAAATTGAGTCTAGTCAAGATTGAAATGTAAACTTAATATTAAATTGCAGTATAGTGTGGTAATTTCCACGATAGAAGTATGACAACAATATTTTGAGGAACAAAAGGAGAGAGCTTGTGACATTGAAAATTAGAGAGGGATCACTGATCTTACAATAGTAATCAAACCAGCCTACTCAATGCTGGGGAAATGCTGAATGGTAAAAACAATTGAAATTGCCAAAGAGAGTTACATTCTAGTAATTCTTAGAGGTCTACCCAGGGATGACTAACAGAAAAGTAGTGCTCACTATAGAAGCAGCAACTGGGGCTTGAGTTATGGCACTGATCATTAAAAGAGGATTCATTTATGAGTTGCACAAATCTTTATATAGAGTTTTAAAAAAACACTGAATTGTTCACTTTAAATAGATGAAATGCATTCTATGTGAATTTTACCTTAATAAAGTTGTTTTTAAAAATAAAAGAATGAAGGGGCACCTGGCTGGCTCGGTCAGTGGACAGTGCGACTCTTGATCTCGGGGTTGTGAGTCCAAGCCCCACACTGGGTATAGACATTACTTAAAAAAAAGGAGTAAAGAATAGGCAAAGATTTCTTAAGACACAAAAATTAATTAACGAATTAGACTTCATTAAAATGAAAAACTTTTGCTCTTCTAAAGACATTGTCACAAAATAAGCCACAGATTGGTAGAAACTATTTGCAATACATATATCTAACAGGACTTGAATCCAGATTCTATAAAGAGCTTTTACAATTCAGTAATTGGAATAACAGCCTGATAATTTTAAGTGGGCAAAAATTCACACACTTTGTGAAAGAAGTTATACCAATGTCTGAAAAGCACATTGAAGGCAATGCTCAACATCGGTAGCCAGAAGGGAAATGCAAAGGCCACATAAAGACCACAGTGAGATACTACTACAAACTCATTAGATAGAAAGGCTGTGATTAAAAAGACTGACAATACCAAATGCTGAAAAGAATGTGGAGCAACTACTTATGGGAATGTAAAATTCCCTCATTGCTTGTGAGAATATGATCTAGTACAAATAGTCAGGAAAAGAATTTGGCTGTTTTGTGTAACATAAACATAAACTAGCCATACTACCTGCAATTCCACTCCTAGGTTTTTACCCAGAAGAAATGAAAACATGTCCACACAAAACTTGTTTGTGAGTGTTCATAACAGCTTTATTTGTAATGGCCCCAAACTGGAAACAACCCAAATATCCACCAACAGGTAAATGGATATACAAATTGTGGTATGTCCATGCAATGGAATACTATTCAAAATTAAAATGAAGTAGTTATAAAAGCAACAATATGGATGTATCTCAAAAACATTAGCCAAGAAACTAGACAAATAAGAGCAAATAACATCTTGACCTAAATTGTTATATTTTGAGATGTTTTCATATGAGAAAGTACCAAAAATGTGCACAATATGAAGGTAATTTACAGCAAGAAACAAATACATAGCTTATTTTATTTCTTGCCTTTATGTAAGCAGATGAGCAGAAGGCTATTCATTACTTTGGTTGATGTGTCATATGTATTTTGGCTAAAAATTATAGGAAGTTGTTCCTCTGAGGGAGTCTTTTAGGGGGTGAAGGCAGGGGAATAGCAGTATTGGCTCAGATTCAAACTGGCATCACCATAAACCCTGAATACCAGGGTGGAATGGAGTCAGCCTTTTATAGTTGAAATACAATTTTTTATTCACCATTGTATGCACAAATCCTTGAAAATAAAATTTGTTTCCCTAAAAAAAAAAAAAAAGGATTTCATTTGTTTAATATTCTAGAATTCTAATCTGTCTAATCTTTGACAAAGCAAATCACTGGTTTCCTGGGGGCAGTAGTGGTGATTAATGGGGATAGGGCAGAAGAAAACTTCTTAAGGTAATAAAACTGTTTTATATCTTGACTATGGTAATAGTTACAAGAGTGAATAACTACATAAAATCTCATCCAAAAGTACATCAAAATATATATATTATTGGATATGAATCATGCCTGAGTTGATTTGATGAAAAAAATACAGTCACTACTAAAAATAATCAAATCAAAAAAATAGTAACTGAATAATTGTAAGTGAATATTTGTTTTTCAATTGCCTAGACATTTTTCTAAAAGTTAAAGTTTTCTAAAAGTTAAAATATAAGACTGATGGATTTTAATGTAAAAGTACAAAATTGATATGGTTTCAGATTCCACATTGTAACTAACCTTTAAGAAACTACCATTTAGGGGTACCTGGGTGGCTCAGTTGGTTAAGTGTCTGGTTTCGACTCAGGTCATGATCCCAGGGTTCTGGGATTGAGTGGGTTCCCTGCTCAGCAGGGAGTCTGCTGCTTCCTTTCCCTCTGCCACTCCCCCTGCTTGTGCTCTCTCTCTAATGGATAAATAAAATCTTTTAAAAAAAGAAACTACCATTTGTTGAGTTTTGGTATAATATCATAAAAGGCTATTCACTCCATTATATATGAAATGTCCAGAATGGGCAAATCCATAGAGATGGAAAGTAGATTAATGGTTGCCAGCCCCTGGCAGAAGACAAGAATGGAGAATGCTGCTAATGAATGTAGACCTTCTCTGGGGTGAGGAAGATACACTGGAATTTGATAGTGGCAATAACTGAACAGCTCTGAATATGTGAAAACCATTGAATAGTGTGCTTTAAAAGGGTGAATTTTATGGTGTGTGACATATCTCAATAAAGAAACAGTACTGAAAAAGAGATCTACAGTTATTTGAATAATTATTAAAATATTCCTCCCTTTTTCAAGTATCTGTGTAAAACTAGATTTTCTTTGTATGCTTTAATCAAAAACAACATATCACAACAGATTAAATGCAGAAATATATGTGAAAATCCAGCTGTCTTCTATTAAGCTAGACGGTTGAGATTTGCAAAAATGTAAAAACAATGCCATTTGCTTCATTCACTCAACTGTTTTTAAAAAATGGTTTTCATAAAAGTACTATATATAATTTTGAGAACCCCAACCTAAAGAAATGTATTTGCAAATTATACACCTTTGCAAAAAGGAATTCTTGAATTGTCCTTTACTTGGATTTATAAATTGTTAAAATTTCTCACTGTACTTGCCATGTTAAATTTCATGATTATAAAATGACTTATTGGCTCAAAATTTGTTTTTTATTCTATAGCCCAATTGACTTAATGTGTTTTTCCTCCCAACAGGATGTAGAAAATATATTTAGTCGTATAGTAGATATACATGAACTTAGTGTAAAGTTACTGGGCCATATAGAAGATACTGTGGAAATGACTGATGAAGGGAGCCCCCATCCCTTAGTAGGAAGCTGCTTTGAAGACTTAGCAGAGGTAAGTACTTTAATTATACACCAAAAAAAATTCTGCGTAAAAGCTGTACATTTGCATTAAAATTGGAATCTTAATTCTTATTTCCAGCTAAAATCCTGGATATTGACTGCTGACTACTTAGCCGTATTGTCTGTTCCTTGTAGGCTCATTGTCAACATTTGTCTCTTTATCTTATGAAACACACAAAAAAGTAGTCTCTCATCTATTATAAAAAAGCAGATCCCACAGAGGCAAGGCATTTACACCTGACAATCCATTATCTTTTCTTCTATAACAAAGCTAAGAAAAGTCCATCAATGCCCTTTCATTGAAGAAGCCATGGAAGCTGGACCTGAGGTTAGACTACTTGTGTTCCAGTTTAAATTCTGCTACTTATTAGTTGTATGTGACTGTGGGCAATTTATCTCCAATCTCTAAATCCCCATGTCTGTATTTCTAAAATAGGCATAATAATACTAGGACTCAGGATTTTTGTGAAAATTAAAGTAACCTACCTAAAATATTTAGCTAATCACCTTCATTACTATAAGCTATGATAACCATACATTATTATTTAGAATAGGAGGAATGAAGTGAATAGGAAAATCAAGACTAGGACCTAGATGATTCAGATGTTATGGGGGTGGAAAAATAGTAACCACCTCCTTGGGTATTCAAATTCTAAAATATATGAATTAGTCCAAATGAGTTAGCATTGATAGTTATTCTGAGATCTTTAGCTCTTACTTCATTCTAAGCCTAAAATCCATAAACACAGGGTTGAGTTTGGTAAAAATAAAATAAAATAAAATAAAATAAGATTTTCAGGATATTTTGGTAAGCTTAAGTTTCGTTAGGGCCCCTCCACTCTTGCTTCAAACACATAGAAGTCATAAAGTATATTACTTTTAAAAGAAGGAATGTACATAACTAGACTCAAAAATAAGATTAGAAATAAACATTCAAGGTAATAAGCTCCGATAGTTGGATGTTCAGCTCTTAAGGACAATGAAGACTAAATGTACTCCATGAAAGTGAGCAAGACTTCTTGCTGTAAAACCCTGATCATAGGAGGATACCAGGGAAATCCTATCAACTTCCTCCCTGCAAGGTTTTATAGGAAGTCGTGGACTTGAGGTAAGAAAACAGAAAAACTACATTATAACAAAAAAACTTTAAAACTTAACAAATTATCCTACAATATCAAGCCGGTACGATGATAGAGCTTAAAACCCCAAAATCTGTTACAGAGCAGGTTTGGGGCTGGAAGAGTGATCATAAAGGGATAGGAGAGAAAAAAAGGAAACCAAAAATTAAAAACCTCCCCCTGAAAAGTCTATAGTACAGAAGAGTACTGTACTATATAGACTTAGTATAGTACAGAATATAGAATAAAGTATAGAATATAGGAAAATCAACAATTAGAAAATAAATTCATTCCAGATGAAATTAATTTTGTACAATAGACATACAAAGAGTTTATAAAAGATGTTTAGGATGCTCATGTAAATGAAGAAATACCATTTTTAAAGAAGACGTTGTGAAATAAAAATCGGAAAGAAAGTAAGAACAGGTAAGTATCAAAAGAAACAATTAGGATATTGGGAATTAAATATAATTAACTCAGTATGTAGTAAACATTTGCTAAACCTAGTTTAAGTAGAAAATTAATGAATTGGAAGAAGGAATTAACTAAAAATATGACACAGAGAAACCACAATTAGAATATGAAAGAAAAGCTAAGAGTAATAAAGGCTATATCGAAGAGCTTTAATAGCCTCTAATAGGAGTTTCAGGTAAAGAATGATGGAGAAGAAAGATATGAAGAGGTGAAAATTGAGAATTTACCAGAAATGAAGACATGAGTTCCCACCATCAAAAATGAATTCCAAATACTGGACGGGATAAATAAAAATAAGCCTACAGCTAAAAACATTATAGTGAAACTATAGAACATCAAGTGATAAAGAGAAAATCTTAAAAGCTGTTAGAGAGAAAAGAGTATTACTTGGAAAGGAACTACAACTAGAAAAACAGAAGGCTTCTCTTTAACAATAGAAACTAACAGTCATTTGAGTGATATCTTCAAGTACTAAGAGAAAATAGAATTTTCTGCCCAATTAGACTTCTCTTCAAGAGTGAGTTCAAAATTTAAAATAATAAAGCTTACAGAAGCAGATGTAAGAGATCTTCATGACCTTAGAATAAGCAAAGATTTCTTAAATAAGACACCAAAACCATGAAAGAAAAAATTGATAAACTGGACTTCATTAAAGGTAAGAACATATGTATCAGTAACCAAAATTAAGAGAATGAAAAGGCAAGCTAGGGTAGGGAGACAATATTTGTAATATCTATAGCCAATGAAGGACTCATGGTGAACTATATGAGGACACTCAAAATACTATATAATTCCATTTGTAGGAAGTTCAAAAACATGTAAACATGGCAATTCTAAGATTTGTGTAGTATTAGAAGTATTAGGCAAGTTCAGTATTATTGCTACATAAAATAAAAATTGATAGTATTACTATGCTCAGTTACTACCCATTGAATACACATGACATTAAAGGAAAAAGACTCCAATCTAGAAACAAAACTATAAGACATTCAGAAATGTGTCAAATAAACATTCAAGACCAATTAAGAAAATCATAAAATAATTAGATTCATAAAGAAGATCTCAGTAAGTGGGAATACGTACTATGTTCATGTATGGAAATACTCAATAGTATAATGATACCAGTTGTCTCCTAAATAATTTCTAAATCTAGTGCATAGCAAACTAATCCTAAAATTTGGAAGAATGAATGTAGAAGAATGAAGGGACAAAAATTAAAATTCTGAGGAAGAACAAGTTGAGAGGATTTGTCTTGTCAAATTTTAAAATTTATTATGTAGGCACAGTAAATATAAAGTAGTGGTGTAGCTATAAACAGTGTGACAGAATAGAGTACCCTGAAAAAAATACACATACGTGGTATGTGACTGAGATTACATTATTAATCAATAGAGAAAGAACAAACGAATTAAAAAATAGTGCTGGGTTAAAAAATACACTGGTTATCCATGTGGAAAGAAAAAAATTCCTTAGCTCACTTCATACCCAAGTTCTCAACAGATTAAAAATCTAAAAATGGAAAGCATACTTTAGAAGTTTAGAAGAGAATATAGGAAAATATGTTTTTGACTTTGAGATAGAAAGGGATTCTTAACAGAGAGTGCATACCATAAAAGATTAAAATTTTAAAACTTTTGTTCACAAAAAGACACTATAAAGTTATGAGAAACCTGAAAGAATGAAATTGAACTTTTTGCCTCACACATTTACAAACATAAACTGGATCTAATGTAAGAACTAGAATGATAAAACTCTTAGAAGAAAGCAAGGCTAAATCTTCACAACCTTGGCATTGGCAAAGGATTCCTAGATGTGACACATCCAAAGCATGAGCTACAAAACAAAGAGACATAATTTAGACTTGGGGGCTAACAGGAAGGAGGGAGGTGTGATTCTAAAAAGAGAAACAAGAGAGGGGGGCCTGGCTGGCTCAGTCAGTTAAGCGTGGGTTGATCCTGGGTTGTGAGTTCAAGCCCCAATGGTGTAGAGATTACTTAAAAAAAAAAAAATAAGACCCTGAAAAAAAATTTTTTTAAAAAGGTCAATAAGAGAGATGCCTGTGGATAGAAATGTTTCATAATTTACTACATTGGGGTCAATGGCCAGATTGTGATAATTGTACTATATTGTACTATTGGAAAACGTTACCAGGATGGGAAACTGAGTAGTGTGCACACAAAATCATTCTATGTTATTTTTTGTAACTGCATGTGATTCTAAATTATCTCAAAAAAACATATCTATACTATAGAATGTTACAGAGTTTAGAATAAATAAATGGAAGAAACCACATTAATCCAAATGGATAAATCTTGGACACAACTTTGAATGTAAAGTACAAATTGGGGAAGAATGAATACATTATGATATTTATATAAAGTTTGGAAACATTGCCTTATTTCTTGATACATATGTAATTATAAAAACACATGTGGGAATGATAAAATTCAAATTCAGGGCAGTGATTTCTTTGGGGATCAGTAGGGGAGGAGATAAACTTGTGAAAAGGAGCTCAGGAGGATCAATTACCACAATACTGTCTTATTTCTTTTTTAAAAATTGAAACAAATATAAGATGTTCAACTTTTTTGAGCTAAATGATGAATATAGTTATGTTAGGTTGTTCTCTGTACATTTCAGTGTTTAGAATATTCTACATTTTTAATCATTAATACACAATGACATTGATAATTAAATTAAAAAAATAAAAGTATTAACTTTTAACTAGTAAACTAATCATTAAATGATCTATTAACTAGTACAAGGATTCCTAGAAGTGCTTGCAATTCTAAAAATTGACCATCTAGAATTAAACTGATGAGCAGTTCGGTTCCTAGTTATGTGTTGGTTTTTTCTTTCTTGAAATTAGCTATTTTAGAATGATGATACTGGGTACAGTATACTCAGTACTTACTATGTGCATGACAGTAAGCATTTGTAAGCATTTTGCATATATCTCATTTAATTTCTAAAACAATCCCTTGAAAGTAGATATTATCCACTTTCCAGTGAAGAACCTGGCTTAGTTTATCAGAGCTCCCACAGCTAATAAGTAGTACAATCAGAATTGGAATCTGGATCTCTGAGACTAAAATTATGCTTTTAAGCCACTTCAGTGTATATAGCCTTTACTTTATATATAGCTGTCATACAAATTCTGTAGTAAATTAGAGTTTATCGAAAGAGAGCGAAGGTAAATATTATCTGCTAAGCAAGAGGATTTCTAGAGTTCAAGAGACCCAAGATAAAAGTTTCAAGTCACATTTTTATTCCTCTCTCCCATCTATCTACTCTGTTCACACCTGACTCCTTTCTGTTATTTTTGTTGAGACTTTACTATTCATTTTTGTAAAATCTACAATGGACTGCAATTTCCAGTGTTATATTATCATAGAGATTTACAGTTGGGAAAGTGGTTGAAGGAGTTGAAATTGGGAAATTAATAAGGAGCCAGTTCAAGGAATTCAAGATGACTTAGAACTTTATGTGCCATAGTGTATTTCACAAAGAGTAGAGCTCGGGTCTTTTGATTTCCGATCTTGTATTGTTATTATTCAATTTTTTGTTTAAAAAAAATCTGAAAAACATTAAGGGTAATGAATATAAATATCATTTGTGCTGTCAGCCCCTCTTCCTTCTGTACTCCACTAGATGTCCTCTTCCTCTTTCTTGAATTCCCCATCCTAGAAATGAGCTCTTGTTAGAATCTACAGCACAGTTCTCCTAAGGTTTTTGGTTTTGTTTTGTTTTGTTTTAAACCAGGAATAAGGCATAGGATGGCTCCTGCTAAAATCAAGACACTGATTCTCTTTCCCTCAGGAATCATGAAAACCAATAGATTGTACTCTTTTAGACCTAACCATTAAATTTTTTTTGTTTATTAATGGTTGATTGATTATAGTAAAATTTTCAGCAATTTGGATTAAACTCATGTTTGTGAAAACTGTAACAATGAATTTTAGATGATACAAACTGTTTACCTCTGGCTTAAAGAATGTGAAAGTAAAAGTCTACCACTAAGAAACAGCCATGAGAAAATAAATGTTAGGCACCCGTATTCTAAGGGTTTATATTTTACTTCATTGTTGATATCTGTATTCGTTGTTGTTGAAGCTTAACTATGTTTTCCAGAACCATAAGTCTTGCCATTCTTATGACCACTTTTGTTGATAATGCTCTACTAGAATCCTTGTCATAACATATAAGGATGCCATTATTCATCAGAAAGAACTGATTTACTTACTCTCTTACTGGAGAATATTAAACTTATCCTATTAAAATTATAATTAATAGCCATGTAATTTTGTTTGGAGGCTTTAAAAGAAGTATATAATTGTGCTAGCTTAGCTGTACTCATAATTTAATCTTTCTGTATTTCTGGTGGTAGGTTATTTATGTTTTAACTTAGAGAAAGATTATTTATCTTTTACATTCTTTATTTTCTAAGGAACTGGCATTTGATCCATATGAATCATATGCTCGAGATATTTTACGGCCTGGTTTTCATGATCGTTTCCTTAGTCAGTTATCAAAGCCTGGAGCAGCACTCTATTTACAGGTATAGTAATTTAAATAAAGATATATGATATCTGAAAAGTAAACTTAAAAAAAATTAATTACTTTGTTTTTTAGTCAATAGGCGAAGGTTTCAAAGAAGCTGTTCAGTATGTTTTACCCAGGCTACTTCTAGCCCCTGTTTACCACTGTCTACATTACTTTGAACTTTTGAAGGTAAGAAGACTCTTACTGCTATTTATAAAACATGCAGATGTGATGCAGTTTTTTTCCTACCAATTTATTTGTGAATGATTATGTGAGCACCCATGAACATTAGTCTATATCTAATTGCTTTTTCTAGTTAAGAATAAAATGTAAACGAATTTGCAAAAAATTCTATATTTTCTCTAGTTTTAATAGTGAATTTTAAAGCAATCATCAGATATTTTTATCTTGTGCCCTTTTTGCTTACATGGCATAAAAAATATTTTTTTCAAACTGTTTAACATTACTTTAGAGTGAACTATGTATAATCCCAGTAAAAATTTCTTATTTGATCACACAGTTCAAAATACTCGATTTAGGAAGCACTGATAAAAGGATTTTTATTTTCCCCCCTTTTCCTTTACACACTGAAATTAGCTAAGGAAAAAGGGACTTAGTCTGTATAAGGGTCATTCATTGATGTAGCTCAAAGTGATTTACTTTTAAACAACTTATGTATATGGGATGCCTGGGTGGCTCAGTAGTTGAGCACATCTACTTTCAGCTCGTGATCCTAGAGTACTGGGATCAAGTCCCACTTTGGCTCCCTGCATGGAGCCTGCTTCTCCCTTTGCCTATGTCTCTGCCTCTTTCTTTCTGGGTTTCTCATGAATAAATAAATAAAATCTTTAAAAAAAAACTTATGTATGTATCTAATGACATACATCTCCTTTGGATTGTGGATAATATATCCTAAAAATCATTTTTTTTCAAAAGCTTAAAATAAAGGATGCAATATTAAAGATAATCTGTTTACCCTTAATGAACTAGCCCCATAGAGACAAAATAAGATATGGGTTAATACTAGTATTATTTCTTTAGCTTTTAAAGGAATGTGTGCTTCATTAAGGAAAAATTCTATTTAATATCATGATTTTGTTATGGAGAATTTATTAGTAGAAATTTTGTTTACAATTTGCAGGAGTACATACTAAATTGGGCTATCAATGTATCAGTGAATGAAGTCCCAGGCTTTTTACATTATAGTAATTTGGAGCCTAGATTTCTCAAGTAGGAATGTTTGAACTGGAGAAGGACCAAGGGAGTTAAAGGATTTAATCACCAAGCAGAATTATAGAGCTCTTAGCTCTCTATTGTAGACTGAAAACAGCATACCATTTAAGGTCTTTGGTATAGACCAAAAACCAATATACTATGGTATAGAATGATTATTTTAAGAGGATGATCAAGAAGGAAGCATTTGTTATACAAAACCATTCTTTACAAATAATTCACTATGACAAACCGTAGTCCTCATGGGATATTTGCAAACAAGTTTATTATATAGAATCCTTGTTCATAATAGTTTGTATGATGATGGGATTTTAACCTGAGACTGTAATGAAATTCTGAAACATTAAAGGCCAGATAAAACCTGGAAACAGTTACTAATTTATAAATAATAATAATAGGAAGCTTTGACGAAGATTCAAAAGGCTGTAAAACCTAATCATCTTAATAAAGTAAGAAATTATTTACTCCCCCCAAGTACAGGCGATTAAGATTTTTTAATTTGTAAGTTGTGGTAATAGAATTTTTATTAGAAAACATCATTCAGCAGTTTAAAAGATTTCTATTGGTTTAAGCACCCTTGTTTGTATTACTACCTAAAGTTCCATTGCAAAATTAGTAGTATATTGAGTGGAAACCTTCTAATTAATCTCACAGACTGTGATCCCTCTTTTTTATTCTGCATTCCCTCTGTACTAATGTATTATTTATACTTATTTTTCAATTTCTAGTTGTTGGTATGTTGCTTAATTAAATATTTTCACTGAGCAGTATTTTCAAAGAATATTCTTTGAGATGCTAGTCCCATGGGATACTTTATTTTTTTTTCACTATTTTATTTTATTTTTAATTTTTTTTATTTATTTATGATAGTCACAGAGAGAGAGAGAGAGAGGCAGAGGCATAGGCAGAGGGAGAAGCAGGCTCCATGCACCGGGAGCCCGACGTGGGATTCGATCCTGGGTCTCCAGGATCGCGTCCTGAGCCAAAGGCAGGCGCCAAACCGCTGCGCCACCCAGGGATCCCCCCATGGGATACTTTAAATAAAAAGTTGGTGGGTGTGTATAGTGGTCAAATATGTTGGAGGAGCATTACATCCTTAATTATATACTCCTAGAAATTTTCAGTGTACACTAGAATATTAAAGACTTTGGGGCCGCCTGGGTGGCTCAGCGGTTTAGCACCACCTTCAGCCCAGGGCGTGATCCTGCAGATCCAGGATCGAGTCCCATGTCAGGCTCCCTGCATGGAGCCTGCTTCTCCTTCTGCCTGTGTCTCTGCCTCTCTCTGTGTGTGTGTCTCATGAATAAATAAAATATTTTTTAAAAAAATAAAGACTTTGTTAAGTTGTATAATAAAGCAATCCAATTGTTTTCTTAGGGTTTCCCAAATTAATTAGACCATAAAACCCTTTTATATTTTCTTTATTTTTGTTGAAGTATAATTAACATACAGTGTTATATTATTTTCAGATGTATAATACAAGGATTCAGTGATTCTATATATTACTTAGTACTTATCAAGATAAGTGTACCCTTAATCCCCTTTTAACTACTTCAGGGGATCCTCACCTGCCTCCCCTCTGGCAACCATCAATTTCTTCTTTGTATTTAGGAGTCTGTTTTTTTGTCCTCTTTTTCTCTTTGTTGTTCGTTAGTTTTGTTTCTTAAATTCCACGTTTGAGTGAAATCAGATGGTATTTGTCTTTCTCTCACTGACTTATTTCATTTAGCATTACCCTGTAGGTCCATCCATATTGTTACAAATGGCAAAAATCTCATTCTTTTTATGACTGAGTAATACTCTGTCGTAGATATACACCACATCTTTATTCATCTATCCTTGGACACTTGGGCTGCTTCCATAATTTAGCTATTGTAAGTAATGCTGCAGTAAAGATAATTGTACAGTATATCTTTTCAGATTAGTGTTTTTGTATTCCTTGGGTAGATACCCAGTAGCAGAATTACTGGATTATATTTTTAATTTTTTAAGGAATCTCCATACTGTTTTCCATAGGGGCTATACCAATGTACATTGCCACCAACAGTGCATGTGGGTTCCTTTTTCTCTACATCCTTACCAACACTTGTTATTTTGTGTATTTTTTTATTTTAGCCATTTTGATAAGTGAAAGGTGATATCTCATTGTAGTTTTGATTTGCATTTCCTTGATGATCAGTGATGTTGAGCATCTTTTCATGTGTTGGTGGGGCATCTGAATATCTTCTTTGGAAAATTGTCTATTTGGATCCTCTGCCCATTTTTTAATTGGATTACTTGTGGGTTTTGGCACTGAGTTGTGTAAGTTCTTTATATATTTTGGATATTAACTCCTTATTGGATATATATTTTGCAAATACCATCTTCCATTCAGTAGGTTGCCTTCTTATTTTTGTTTTTCCTTCACTGTGTGAAAGCTTTTTATTTTGTAGAGACCCAATAGTGTAATTTTGCTTTTGTTTCCTTTGCCTGAGAGACATATCTAGAAAAATGTTTCTACAGCCAATATCAAATATTTTTAAAGATTTTTTTTAAAAGATTTTATTTATTTATTCATGAGAGACACACACAGAGAGAGAGAGGCAGAGACACAGGCAGAAGGAGAAGCAGGCTCCACACAGGGAGCCCAATGTGGGGACTCAATCCCAGGACTCCAGGATCATGCCCTGGGCTGAAGGCAGGCACTAAACTGCTGAGCCACCCATGCATCCCAGCTTTTATTTATTTATTCATGAGAGACATAGAGAGAGAGGCGGAGACATAGGCAGAGGGAGAAGCAGCTTCCTGCAGGTAGCCTCATGTGGGACTCAATCCCAGGATCTCAGGATCACAACCCAACCCAAAGGTAGATGCTCAACCACTGAGCCACCCAGGTGCCCACCAATATCAAAGAAATTAGTGCCTGTTTTCTTCCAGTAGTTTTATGGTTTTAAGTCTCACATTTAGGTCTTTAATCTATTTCGAGTTTATTTTTGTATATGGTGCAAGAAAGTGGTCCAGTTACATTCTTTTTTCTTTTCCAGTTAAATTCTTTTGTATGTAGCTCTCCAGTTTTCCCAGCACCATTTGTTGAAGAGAATATCTTTTACCTATTGCATCTTCTTGCTTTCTTTGTTGTAGATCAATTGACTATATAAGTGTGCTTTTATTTCTGGGTTCTCTATTCTGTTGATCTGTGTGTGTGTTTTTGTGCCAGTGCCATACTGTTTTGATTACTACAACTTTATAATGTACCTTGAAATCTGGGATTCTGATACATCCAGCTTTGTTCTTCTATCTCAAGATTGCTTTGGCTGTTCGGGGTCTTGTGTGGTTCCATGCAAGTTTTAGTATTATTTGTTCTAGTTCCATGAAAAATGTTAGTACTTTGATAGAGATTATGTTAATCTGTAGATTGCTTTGGATAGTATTGACATTTTAACACTATTGAGTCTTCCAATCCATGTGCGTGGAATATCTTTCCATTTGTTTGTGTCGTCTGAATTTCTTTCATCAGCGTTTTATAAGTTTTTGGAGTATAGGTCTTTCACTTCCTTGATGAAGTTTATTTCTAGGGATGTTATTATTTTTGGTGCAGTTGCAAATGGGATTGTTTTCTTAATTTCTCTTTCTACTTCATTATTAGTGTATAGAAATGTAACAGATTTATTGTGTATTATATTAGTTGTGTATGTAACTTGAGACCTCACTGAATTTATCAGTTCTAGTAGGTTTGTTTGTTTGTTTGTTTGTTTTGGTAGAGTCTCTGACATAAAACCCTTTTAAAATATGTTATGAACATTATATTTTTATATTTATATTATAAATATAAACATTATATTTCTGGGGCACCTGGGTGGTGCAGATGGTTAAGCATCCAACTCTTGGTTTCAGTTCAGGTCGTGATCTCAGGGTGTTGAGATTGGCCCAGTGTCAGGCTCTGCACTCAGCATGGAGTCTGCTTGGGATTCTCTTTC